CTCGACTACTTTTGGATCAATTTCACTTTATCATAATCCATCAAATGAAAGTCAAAATTACACTTCAAACTTACAAGATTTTATATTTATAATGAACTTAGAGTCCGTCTGATTGCAAGAATAGAATTTGGGTGGAAAGAAAATGAATTTCAAGGAATTGAATTGTCTAAAACTTGTTTTATTGGAAATTGTCAATTAACTGTGTTTGATTGGTATAATTTTTCACTTAAAAAATATTGAAATTTTAGATCTTTTGGTATTCGCTTGACTTTGTTTTTCCATGAAAATTATTGATAAAATTTGTTACAACTGGGGATAAAATTTATTTTCATTGTCAAAAAAATGCTTAGAAAAGCTTTTTCCAATCAAAAACCAAGAAAATGTGAACATGTGGGTGAAAAATAGAAAACCGATTCCATGGAAAATTTCGGCAATCAAATATGCAAAAATGTGGAAAATGAAATTTAATTTTCATCTTCAATGAAATTGAAGTACAATCAAACAGGGCCTTAGGTGGAAGAATTTGCCTCCAAACACAATAAGTAGAGCTGTAATGTACGTATAGGTCGAGCACAAAACTATTTTGAGGCAACAACTTTGAGATGCTATATTCATTATTCTTTTCGGGTACATAATTTTAGTTTCAAATGAAATTGTGTCGTATTTTAAATTATATACCTTATCGGTTCAAAAGCCAGAAATGATTAAAACAAGGTTTTGCAATTAAAACATTTTGTTGCATTACTTTTTATTATATTTCACAAACAAGGAAAAATCATAAGAACATTGATAATTCAGAAACTTACAGTAAATTGCAATAAATAATGTCGATAATTAAAGGAACAATTTGAATGGTATTATCCCTATTTTCTAGGGTTTTCTTTTTCTTTTTCTAATCCCTATAACTTAACTATTACTAAATTTATTTTTCTCAAATAATGGGACTCAAACAAACACTAGTGTTTGACACTCATTTTAGTAGAAAAATGTGTTTTTGAATAGTGATTGATGGAAGAATGTGTGGTTAAAAAGTAAGGAGAATTTTTAGGTTTATGTGTAATATAATTTTAT